ACCGTATCGCGAGAAACCTTGTTCTTGAAAAAATATATATTCATATATTTATTTATATAAAATTAATAAATATATCATTGAACTTTTTATTGTATACTCGAACTGAAAAATAGATAAATAAAATTTACGATAAATTTGAGAATTGTTTCAGATCATCTAAAATTCGCAATAAAGTTTACTCTAACAGATAAATTTTAATTTTTCTTTATATTTTAAAATGTATATATATGTTTTAGATTTGAACTGAGAATAGAAAAAAAAACAAATTTACGAAAAACATAAGAATTATTTCAGATCACCTAAAATTTACATGAACTAATTCTAACAGATAAATTTTAATTTTTCTTTATATCTTAACTTATATATATGTTTTAGATTTGAACTGAGAATAGGAAAAAAACAAATTTACGAAAAACATGAGAATTATATATTTCAGATCACCTAAAATTTAAAAAAAAAACTAATTCTAATAAATAAATTTAAATTAATCTTTATATCTTAAAACATGTATACACACACAAATATATATTTTAAACTAGAACTGATAATAGGAAAAAAGACAAATATATTATGAAAAATGTAAAAACAATTGTTTCATATAATGAAAAATTTGTAAAAGAGCTAGCTCTAAACGCGAAAAAATGTTCATTGTTCCCTATATTTCTACATATATACATATATTTCTGATCTTTTCTTTCTATATTCCTTGATGTTAGACTAAAAAGAAGGGGTCGATCAGAAACGTCGCGAGGCAAAAGCGAGGTGCGCGCGTGGTGGCAACGCGCCCGCGCGATGAAACTTTTAATAAATGGCGAAGTCGATATGAAGTATAGGACTTTGACATATCGTGTGTCTGTAATGTATAGTTAAATCTGGCGGCAGATGTGGCGAGTGTTCTCTCCCTTTTTCCTTCTCTTTCTCTTTCTCTCTTTCTATCAAACCATCCCTCGAACTTCCTCCTATTTCCTCGCACCGTGAGTACCGCGTTCGCAGCCTCTCTGAAATTTCGCTTTAACCCACTGCCACGATCGAATATCCCCCCCCCGTTACCCCTCCCCCACCTCCTCTTTAACATTATGAATGCACCGATCTTCTGCCTACTTTTATCGCAAATAAATAATTTCACTCTATTTTATCACATGAAGAGATGAATTTATTCTTATATATAAATATATTTTCCAATACAAATTTTATTTTTCATTTTATATTCAACGTCACACATATTGTTACAACTCTTTAATTTATATTAATATTTTTTATATTGTTACATCAATATTTTATAAGTTAAACCAAATATCAATTTTATATTACCGTAATCTGATCAACGATGATTTAAATAAAACTCAGAAAGTTTTACGAGAGATAGAGTTGATGCGATATGATAAATAAAAGAAAATAAAAAGAAAATTAT